ATCCATCCATCCATCCATCCATCCATCCATCCATCCATCCATCCATCTATCCATCCACTAGTTTATCCTTACGGGGTATGTAGGAGACCATGACCAGGATGAGGAAGGCGTGGTAGTCGAAGGAGAAGTTGTACTTGTTGGGCAGGCTGATGGAGAACAGCCCGGTCTTCTGGACGTGGGGCAGCGCCGCGTAGATGGTCAGCAGCTCGCCGCTCACGCCCATCGGGTACAGAACGATGAAGAAGGTGTACCTGCACACATCCACATGACAAATATGGAGCTCTCAGAGGCACGAATTAGGGTTGTGTTAGGAGAGCTGATTCCACCTTCCACCCAGTCCTTATGGAGATTTGGAAAATGAACAGAAGAGATCTTTAACAATGAATGGAATTTATTTCGGCCACAAGTAGGATATCACAGCGGGGGACTCTCTGGGGAATGTTGTCTCAACAACGCAATCCCACCAAAGAGCCTCGATATACGTCAGTCAGGTACATTTATCTTCTTGGGCTAAGCTCCGCCCTGTACAATGCAAACTGGTCTTCGCAGCACCGAATTGTAATTGGCCATTTAACTCTAACGTAAACATGCCAGCTTCCTGTTCACGTGATCGTATAGTGTCGTAAAAAAGTGTTGTGAATGTTGGTTGTTGGCGTGCAGCTAAAAAACACAGGATAAACATGAACTTTAACAGAATCTAAAAATGAATTATTTTAGTTGTCAAGATACTAAAATGTTCAACTGGATACCGATACTCAGGAAAATACTCAATACCATTTTTGATACAAGGATCAAAACAAAGACCCCAAAATGTAACTGAATTTTGACAGGTTAGTGTCTTTGGTTTCAAACTGACCTGTTACTGATGTTATGGTGGCCCCATTAATGACCCTAACCCTAACCCTAGCCCATCGGGTACAGCACGATGAAGAACGTGTACCTGCACACACCCACACGATAAAGATGGAAGAATTAGGGTTGTCACGATGCTAAAATGTTCAACTTGATACTCGATACTCAGGAAAATACTCGATACTCGATACCATGTTTTGATACAAGGATAAAAACAAAGACCCCAAAATGTAACTTAATTTTAACAGGTTAGTGTCTTTGGTTTCAAACTGACCTGTTACTGATGTTATGGTGGCCCACATTAATGACCCTAACCCTAACCCTAACCCTAAACCTAACCCTAACCCATCGGGTACAGCACGATGAAGAACGTGTACCTGCACACATCCACATGACAAATTTGTAAGAATTAGGGTTGTCACGATGCTAAAATGTTCAACTTGATACTCGATACACAGGAAAATATTCAATACCATTCTCGATACCACAAGGATAAAAACAAAGACCCCAAAATGTAACTGAGTTTCGTTTCAAACTGACCTGTTACTGATGTTATGGTGGCCCACATTAATGACCATAACCCTAACCCTAAACCTAACACTGACCCTAACCCTAACCCTCCACCCTTCATAATTGTGAGAAATAAATATTTTTTGGTTAAACTTGTTTGGACTTATTGTACAAACCTATTTAACATCCACTATTTTAACATAATATTATGAATAGAGTTTAATTCAGTGTTTGCAAGATTCATTTCACTATTTTTAAAAGAATGTCTATATTGCCATGAAGCAATTAGGATTTTCTTGCCTGGGATCTTCCTATTGGTGACCAAAATGGCCGACTTGGATGTGGAGGAGTTAGATATCCATCCTTGGCTTCCTGCAGTGTGCAGCCAGACGGACTTGATTAACGTTGGCGTGTTATTATTATTAGCCATTAGCCGCAGCTAGCAATTCAAGGCTAACGTCACGTTAATGACCATAAACAACGTAAATAAATAAAATAAAAAAGGCCACAGTGGGAGGAGGAGAGTCCTCCTCCATCCCTTTTCCTGCTCACTCTCCTCTCTCTGGGCGCAGCAGCCCACACTGGAAATTGGATACCAATTTAGCGGTGGCCTCCTTTGCTACCTAGCAACAGACGGCAGGGAGGGAGGCGCCTGACAACTGTTGCCTTCGCCGTGGAGGAGAAGAACTCACAAAGGGCTGATAATAGACCGGTGGAGAGGAAAGGCCTGAGGAAAGGAGCTGTGTGGGTTCGATCGGGAATCTGTGGAGCGTTAACTCTGAAAACGCTGAGAAATTGATGTAAAACGCTCACCTTTGTGGTCTGAAATCTGACATCTTTGTCTCTTATATGAAATATGAAAACACGTGGAAATTACTGGTGTTTTACTGGAGATTGAATCAATATTTCTGCTGATTTTTTACAAATAACTGACAACAAAAGGGGGGTTAATTCTATGCAACAGGTTGCTTTTTTAAAACAAAAATCTGACTGGAAATCAGGAGTCTGAGTTTGGAACTGTTGATTCAAACAGATGATGAAGAAAAACTGCCTCCAATGTCACTTTTTAACAGAAAAAATGTGTTAGTTCATACTCTGTCTAGAAGCCGATATTTACGGACAAGCTTTAGCAGATCGTCCCCCAGCCACTCTCGTTGAAAAACATAAAAGACGTCTATAGACGTCTTTGGCAGCCAATGAGTTAAAAACAGCTCTGCTAACCGTGTAATTCGGACTCTGGGGGTCCTACCTGGCCCACTTGATGAGGAAGGGCAGGTGGTTGAGGAGGCTGAAGGTGTAGAAGGAGTAGCGGATGATCTCGGTCACGGTCCAGGCCGTGACGAACAGCAGCACGCTGTCCTCGCTCTGCACCTGGACCAGCAAACGGGGGGTCAGGGTTAGGGTTAGGGTTAGGGTTAGGTTTAGGTTTAGGAGGCCCCCGGCGGGTCTCATCCCAGAAACATGCTTTGAGGGTCACACCACAGGCTCCTCAGGTATCCAGTCAAACTACAGACGGTATGCAGTTAGGGTTGTCACGATACTAAAATTTTCAACTCGATACCGATACTCAGGAAAATACTCGATGCTCAATACCATTTTCGATACCACAAGGATAAAAACAAAGACCCCAAAATGTAACTGAGTTTTGACAGGTTAGTGTCTTTCATTTCAAACTGACCTGTTACTGATGTTATCCTGGCCCACATTAATGACCCTAACCCTAACCCTAAACCTAACCCTCCACCTTTCATAATTGTGAGAAATAAATATTTTTTTGGTTAAACTTGTTTGGACTTATTGTACAAACCTATTTAACATCCACTATTTTAACATTATATTATGCATAGAGTTTAATTAAGTGTTTGAAAGATTAATTTCACTATTTTTAAATTAACGTCTATATTGCCATGAAGCAATTAGGATTTTCTTGCCTGGGATCTTCCTATTGGTGACTTAATCAAAATGGCCGATTGGATGTGGGCGGCGTTGGATATGTACTTGATTACTGTTGGCGTGTTGTTATTAGCCATTAGCCGCAGCTAGCAGTTCAAGGCTAACGTCTTGTTAATGATCATAAACAACGTAAATACATACATAAATAATATCGATACTGTTGAAAATGAGTATCGTATCGAATTCAACCCCTCTGCTCAGGCTTTTCCAGAAGGAAAGAGGACGGATTGAGAAAAAAAAGGTCAGTAACGCGTCACACAAAGCTCAGAGACGTTGCATTCAGAGACATTAAGATTTAGTAGATTCATTCCTGGAAACTTTTCCGATATTACTTACAGGTTTCCTCCCTTGATCTACGGAGAAGGCAAAGGTTGTTAAAAACCAGCACAGGTTACGACCGACTGGAGGTTCTTAAAAGCAAAAAAAACCCCCAAAACAATCTGAATAAAGCCGTTTCTGTACCTCTCTGACGCTGTGGGTCACGGCCCAGGTGAGGAAGACCCGGGACAGGACCTGGAACCCGGTCAGGACCACCGAGGACGGCACAATCCCTGGAAAACGAGTGAAAAAAGATCAAAGAAAACGACCATTATCTGCCGTTTCTTTCCTTTATCTCATTGACTGGCAGCCATTTTCAGAACAGAGAGTCCCATACTGCCAGAGTTTTTTGAGCATTTTGACTGATTTTTCAAGAGCCACAGAATAGTTTGTGCTATGACTATGTAAACACCGAACACACCAAAAGAAAGAGTAGACTCTCTTCTTTCATCAGGAAAAAATGTTTGTTTCTACCTTATTCCGTTCTTCCTGGACTTGCGTCTCACCGGCGACATATTCTCTCATAGAACCGTTCCCTTTTTCTTATTTGCCTACAGTCTATGCTCATCTCCCATCAAAAGTGGCACTGCCCCCTAGAGGGTCAATCTGTTACTACATACTCTGTCTAGAAGCCGATATTTACGGACAAGCTTTAGCAGATCGTCCCCCAGCCACTCTCGTTGAAAAACATAAAAGACGTCTATAGACGTCTTTGGCAGCCAATGAGTTAAAAGGCTTCCAGGCCTATTATGAATCTCAAATGTTTAAAAGCTGAAGTCAAAATCCTCAATAATCCCTATAATGATAACTATTAAATCTTTAGATGTTATGCTTCAGTCAAAAAACTCATTTTAAGATTATATTTGTTCATTTTTGGGAAATAGAAAAGTAAAAAGACACCAAAAAGGGATTTTTTCCTTTAGAAAGTAAAACATTTATCTGGTGAGAGAAAGTTCAAATCTGATTAAACACCCCAGAACATAAATGTAATACAAGACCTATATTTTATTTTATTATTCTAATTTAGGCCCAGATGAAAAATAAAGACACTTTTAAGCTC